CTACTGCGAGCTTTAGCCAATTTCTTTAGCCATGGTAAACATCGGGCACAGGTTTTGACACTCATTATTCTTATATTAAGATGAACATAATTAGATGAAATTTCTTATACAGTTAATCAAGGTTGATAAGCAATCATGTATCCCTTTTCACGCATAATGCTAGTTAACAATCGTAGATTTGATGGCGTATCTGGTTTTAAGTCAATAAACAGATATGAAAACGGATCTCTAGTTGCATCCTCATAAATTGCTTGAAACTTTTTTATTTTTGTAGGGAACATTTGACGAGCTATGTTTGTTGCTATAGATTGATCGCGAGGATTTTTAAAGATTACAATGTACTGAGAATTCAATGAAATATTCCTACTCTCTTTTCCTCGCATGAAAAAGTTTTGCACTAGTAGTATGATGGACAAATTTCTGTGATGTGATCCTTTAGTGAAAATTTCACTAACCACTTTTGAATTTGCCGTTTCAAGCATTAAGTCATCGATAATCAGCCATTCAGGTTTGCTACCGTCAAACATTTGCATTATGTTTTCTGGTAATCCTGGAATGAATATGGTTTTTTTAAATGAAGCAAAGATTGGTTGATATTCCCCGTAACAATATACTATGCGTTCAGGAGAAGGTAGGCAGAATAAATGATTTTGATTAATCAAATTCTTGACCCAAACAGTTTTTCCCGATCCAGTTGGACCTGAAACTAACATAGTGAATGGATGCTTTAAATGAACGAAGGCAGACATTTTGCAAAGTTAAAAAAATTTATTTCAGCACTGATTAAATTTTCTTATACATGTTTTATATTGATAAATTTCTTAGTACAATTACAAATATTCCATTTCCGAGCTTGATACCATTTCTTCATCATAACAACTGTATTGAGAGAACATCGGGTTCGAGGTTTTTTGAGAAGAGTATGTAGATGGCAGGGGTATTGTGTACCATCATCGATCTCTTTATTTGTGCATCCATGTTCCAAAATGTTTATTCTCGGAATATCAAGATCACGCAGTATTCTTTCAGCTTCGCAAGACTTTACAGCAACTAGAAATTTGTCACTGCTCCTAGCGTTCTGGTAAAATCTTTTGATTGCGATTGTCATCTCATCAATTGTTATTCCATCCTTTTTGCTAGCACTCAAATCAAGTCCATGATGGGAGTTTGATAAATAAATTGCACACTTTTGTTCGTGAAGAGATAACTTTTGAGATGATAGCTCATTGTTGATTGATAGGTGTAATACACTTTTTTCATCAAGAATAGCTACTTCTCTGGGTAAAAACACTGAAGAAGAATAAAATCCTTGAGCGTCAAAATAAGCACAAATGTAATCCATTGTGAAGAAAGTTGTAAACTGAGGCGAAGTGTGAGTTTTCACTGCTTTATATACGTTTTACACTAACGCAAACGCCCCCTGTTGAGCTTTTAGTTAAAAATCAAGATTAAAGCGAAATATTACTTGTGATAAGCATAGCAGAAGAGATTTATACTCCTTATCATTCATGATTTCAATTGCGTGATGAACATCCAAGGAATTTGTATAGGTTGCTCGACTGAGGAATTTCTCCTTTGCAAAGTAGTCGATTATGTCAAGTGGGGTTAAAATATTATTTATCAATTTTTCTGCATGATGACGATAGTTGTCAACTATTTTCTTTATACAATCTTCATGATCAAAATCAGGCACGTCACGATTGGCTTGAATCACGCTATAGATGTAAACATCAAAAAGTTTATCCAGAAAGTCATTGATACGTTCTGCGTTTCCTTTTTTTGCTTCCATGATTGTAATGAAGGTTGGCAAGAATTTTCTTAGGGCACAGACATTGGCGCGATTTAGCAATAGAAGTTTTTCGCTTTTCTGGACACGAATTTCATCATAGGATGGACGTGAGACCATTAAAGAGCCATACTTTACGTCTTCTTGGCAGTTATCAGCAGCAACCTCTTTGAAATAATTATAGATCACTTTTAGCTCATTAGCAGTAACAACTACTCCGTTTTGAGTTGGAAAATTTTGCACAAAACGACGTATATTCAGGCGTGCACAAACAAAAGTATTGTCGGACTTATAGCTTAAACCTAATGAAAGCTTCAAGCTAGAGTCAACTGACATGGGTAGGACTGTTCTCCAGGTTAGAGACATTTTAGTTTATACTTGTGTACTTTCAGCTTCAAACGTTGATTAGCAACTGAAACAGACTCAAGCTTGATCACATCTTTTTATACAAATCTGTTGCATTCAAAAAATTGCGCAGAATCGGTTCATTTGGCCAAGTTGCACCAGTTATTATGACGGAGCCACTATCATAGCAAATTATACAATTTTTACCTTCCCTCCAATACAAAGCTGGAAAAAGTTCAGGTTCGTAAGAAGTATTTTTGTAATTTTTCAATACGTCATAGAAATTGAAACGATATTTCAGTTTATCTTGAGCAGTGATATTAGAAATTTTTATAAACTTTGGCGTCTTTTTATAATTTGCACGAAAAGCTGTAGTTGTTTCACTAAGAGATTTAAAACCTGTAGCTACACATTTTCCTGACGTAAAAAGTAAAAAGCATCCTTTTTGTACACGTTTCACTTCAGCATTGTAGTTTTTCTTGCGATTTACATTATTCACATTTATTTTCAATTTTTCACCAAAATCCCAGATTGAAACTAAATTTATAATTTTCATTACGCTAGATTCAACAAAGATGGGTAACGTTTGCTCATTAACATTAAATAATATGTCCAAAAAAGCGTAAACATTAAAGCAACGAACAATAAAATTAATATATAAATGGCGGTCATCTTAAGTAGCTAGAGATTGCAAATGAAATGACGGATTTCCTTTCAAGTTAGCTTTTTATATACGCGAGAAAAATAGACAAATGAATATGACGTAAGAAGTTTTTATTCATGCGCACATATAAAAGCAAAAAATTACATTCAAGTTGATATTATGCATCTAACAGCGTTATAAATTGTTGATTTACACCAAGGACATGTTGTGAATTGAGTTGCACAGTCATAACAAGTTATCATATGCTCACAAGGTTTAAAAACTACGCTTATTTCAGCAGATAGACAAATTTTACATTCGTAACGAGATTTGTCATCGTCAACTTCCTTTGGCGGTTCATATGAAGAGATGGAACGTACTTTAGCCAATTGTAACCTTATAAAGTTTCTGCCTCTTTTAAGATAAACATACATACAATCAGGAAAAAGATTAGCGTGTATTTGCCAGGGATCATCATTTGGTAACCAGTTTGCTATTGTCCCAGCGCAGAAATAGCAAGTAACTGCATCATGTTCACCTGAAGTAAATGGAGTAGAAGAACAAAAATATGAGTTATTATTGTAGATGAATCATTAGTACAAGAAATGTTACCGTAAGAGAAAAAACCAGCCTCAGCATATTTACTCGGTGTGATCTGCGCTACAATATGTCCATCATGTTTTTCAAAAGTTTCAATTCTTGCTTCTATTTGCTTCATGTTTGGAAACGCTATCGCCATCCTAGATAAGTCTGTGATGTTCTTGAAGTAAGCTGACCTTAGTATTAAATATTTTGTTGTTGATGCCTTCAATGGAATTTTGTGTTGGACATCAGATGGCAAACCTTTTTCGTAATCATCTCTTGTTCTTATTACACGGAAAAAAGAAGTATCTACGATGTAAAGATTTGCTATTCTCTCTCTCAGTTTTGTTTGATGTATCAAACGTTGATTTGCTTCGGAACCTTCGTCGGTTTCATTCGATTCAATATCACTTTCCATTTCATTGATCAGCAATTCTCGTGGGTTTTCCACTGGTGTTGAGGTCCTTAAGTTGAGGGAATGGTTAACAGCTTCATCGTAAACGCTCGATTCGCTATCACTTACTTGTTCTTCTTCTTCCTCAACCGTGGCGTCATGGTCCGTATCTCGAACTCTTTCAAGGGGCAGAAAAAACTGTACGTAATTATCTCGGTCTAAAAGTGACAAGCCTAAGCCCCATTCTCCATTTCTCGTTATTCTACACCTCATTGAAGATGTATTAGCTCTTTCTCTAATGTAGCTTCTCATGTTTCCAGTTAAAGACTCAGACATTTCCGCTGCTGAGTCATCTTGTTGTTCTTGTTGTTCTCGTTGTTGTACTTGTTGTTCTTGTTGACCTTGAGATTGTGATTGTTGTTGATTTTCAATGTTGCTTTGTATTTGATTTATTGTTGTAATCTCTATCCATTCCCGTAATAGAGAATGTCTGTTATACAATAGAATGTGTACCCTATTATAAAAATTATTCATTGGGCTTTCCGCTAAAGCTTCACGTATAACATTTCTGAATCTCTCAATTGCAGATCTTTCATCCTCGCTTATTGTTGCCCCACTCATTTTCATTCAATTTCAAGATTTTCTATGCCGAAAATTACTAAAAATGATGAAGATGAAGAAGTGACTTTAACATGCAATCGCTGTTTCTTTTTATTCACTTGAAAAGTAGGAGGAGATGTGCAACTCCGCCTCATTACAATATTGCTTGCTATTATCTGTATTGAAGAGTTGATTAACACAACACCCTTTGCTTTGTCTTTCAACCAATCACTCATCAATTGATCTATGATCTCATCATGTAAGTATTGTTATCAAATTACAGATTATTGACTTTGTTGAGCTGAATATTGTAACATTAAGCTCCTATTGCATAGATGTTTGTAACAAGTTATGTGACGTATTATTCAGTTCAGCAATTCAGGTTAATACGTCATATTAATATTACAAAGCGTTTATTACCCTCTTTCTTTTCTTTGTCTGGTCTTAATCACCTTCGCTCAAATTACATTTCCTCTCTTCTCTTTCTTCATTCACCGTAATTATCGTCATTCATCGTTCTCTTTCTTTCCCCCTTACTAAGCAGCCTTCTCTGGCCCAACGTTCTGGCCCACTTGGACTTTACCATAGGGTAAAGTTCGATGTGGGCCAGAACGGTGGGCCAGAGTGGGCTGCTTATAGTCTACTGACACCAGACGCAGTAACTTGCATATCGTGAAGACAACCAGGAAAACAACAGTTTTCACATGGCATTTGCCTGAATGAAAAATGAATAATAATGAAGAAGCCTCAATAAGAGATGAATCAATGAAAGATTTAATGTTCTTCTAACTCCATTCATTTTTATGTTTCAATTAATATGCATCACGCTATTAACATCAACATTTATTACCGGTGAAGATTTATAACTTCTCGTTCCTCGGAATCGGTAATTTTGGTATGCAATGGTCCACTGCAAAACATTGAGCAAAAAGTGGTATCTATAAATAGTTGGTAAAGTGAGAAAGAAGTGAAATAAGTTGAAAGGTCACTTGCGATACCAACATCTTACCTTCAATAGCAGTGAAGATATGTTGTCCTTTCATGTTTACCATTTGATATTTGTTTGACATATCACAAGCTTTCTGTTGAACAAGAATTTGATCAATTTGAATCAAGCTTTCTAATCCTGGTGGACTAAAAGGCACTGTACGACCTGGCTGCCAACCATCTAAAAATCATCATGAAAATATAAGAGAACAATTAGATTCACTGAGAAAAAATCAAGTAAAACATTCAGGTTATTGAATTTACCAGGATTGGTCAATGGTAATTTTGCTCCATAATTAAGCTCAGAATGAAATGGCTGCACCAAGTGTGTAGCTGGTTGAGGTTGAACCACACGATTTGATGGTGTTTCGATTGGAGGATCAACAAGATATCCTGGAGGTTCTTGGATTGAATTTGGAGTGAACATTTATTTTAATCACTAAATTAAATTTGATGGAACTTCTTTAACAAAAAAATGAGAGGTTAAATTAGCACAGACATGGATAGTTTATTGTCTGTTTACTTTTTGTACAGTAAGGGCTGAAATAATGGTAGTGTTGCAGCAATATTATATTTTTGAAAAATATTATCAATCTCAACAAATTGTTGACAACAATACTTATCGATACTTTCTGCAATAGTATTGTTCCTTTCGATATATTTTTTTCGTTGATATTTCTGACATTCTGATACTCATGGAAAAAATATTGTCCTTCCATAAATACTTTTTTCGGGTATCATGCATTTAAATAATGGGATTCTCTTGGAATAGCTTATTTAAACTATTCAAGCGCGTATTTTCACCAATTTCAATCTTCTTTAATAGATCAAATTGAGCCTAAATTGTTTTTTTAATCTGATTTTTAGAGTTTTGTAAACTACTTCTTGTTGAATAACAAGGAACATTAAACATTAACCTTTAGTTAAAGCAAATTTCAAAGAAATTATGAAAACAGAGAAAAAGATCAAATTATCATTTCATGGCTTTGATCAAAGACAAATAGTTAGGCTTTAATTGTTGATTTAAACATGTTTGAGCTAGGAAATGACGACTCTGGTTCCCATTAGTAAATGAGTATTTTGATATTGTTTATACAACATTAGAAAAAAATGAAATGAACTTTGCAATGGCGTTCATCATAGCTCAATCCAGCTGGTTGAGGAAGAGTAAGATGATCTTTGATTATTTATTAACGATGAAAAGGTTCAATATTTTAATTCATTCATTTGATTAAACTTGTTGGTTTGTTTTGACTGCTACGCAAGTTTTCAAGTGAATAGTCAATTGTGTATTATTGCAATATTTTGCTTCTCTAATGACAATTCCAAGATCCTTTCATTAATATCTCTCATTTTATCATTTAAATCTGCTAGTTGCTGTATATTGTTTTACAGACTCTTAATTAGCTTGCACTTTTAAGCACGAACAAAAAATGACAATATTTATTCTTGTAACAATTTTTAACTAGCAGATAAATTACAGTAGTTATCTATTCTTGCTATCAAATATCCAACTCTCATAGAAGTCACCAATGAAACCTGAATCAATCTTGACTACCGAAAAAGCCTTCGTATTTGTTCAATGTAAGTCAACATCTAATTATAAACGTTTACACCGATATAAATATCCAGAATTTCATTGCATTAACAACAATGGTTCATTTTATTTAAACGCAATTGTATCAGATCTCAGTTTATTCAAATCGTCTGTCTACAGGATCACTGTTTAGTTTCAAAATACATGAAATCCTGTAAAATTAAGAGAAACAAAGCATAAAGAGAATAAATCTTTTCATTGACTGGGAAAAAATACTTACAATCAAGAAACAAGCTCCCAATAAAACAGCTTTGATATTGACATTTAAATCCATTGGAAATGAAATGCCGAAATGATCAGCGTCGGTGAATAATTCTCGAGCTAAACCAGACCATTGTTTAGTTATACGACCGACTTGAGTGTCACGATCGCGTGATAAAACTTGAAATTCAACATCACCCCAAAAAGAGCAAGTACAAAATGGTCCTTTAATGCGTAAAACTGTTTCACCAGAAGAATCGCAAACATTGAATTTAGGCTTGCAAAGACTCCAAGTTTGTTCAATATAACCACAAACGATACCAGAAGCAGTAACTTGCACACTTTGGAGACAACAAGGGAAACAACATAATTGACATTTCAAAGGCCTAAATGCAAAAAGTATAAAATAAAGAAGACTTAATAAGAGATGAATTATTGAAAGATATAATGTAGTACCGGTAGATATTTATAACTTCTTGTTCCTCGTTATCGGTAATTTTCATATTAAACGGTCTTACAGGCCCACAGCAAGCCCTGGTGCAGCAATCGGAATCTAGTGAAATCAAGAGAAGAAGTACAATTAGTTGAAAGGTTACTTGCGATATCAACATGTTACCTTCAATAGCATTGAATATTTTCTGCCCCATACTGTTTTTAATGTGATATTTGTTTTTTGTCTCAAAGCCAATGAAAGCTTCAAGAAGTTCAACTTTCTGGTGAACCAGAAGTTGATCAATTTGAGTTAAATATTCTAACCCTGATGGACAATTCGGTATCAGTGGAGCTGGCATCCAATTACCTGTTAAAATATTATAAAAATAAAAGACAAATTAAGTTTACTTAGAGGAAAACCTGCAAAACATTTAGGTATCTAGGTCGATGGTAGTTTCGGTCCATAGTAAAGCCGAGGATAAAATGACTGCACCAAGTGTGTACCTGGTTGAGAATGAAACACATTATTTGATGGCCGTTCGGTTGGAGGACCAACAAGATATCCTGGAGGTTCTTGTATTGAATTTCGAATGGAAATGTTTTCTTACAATCACTGAATTAAATTTGATTTAACTTCTTCCAACAAGAAAATTAGCCCAGATCCCAATGAACAGAAGCTTTTTTATGCAGCCTTATGGGGAAAATATTAACTCATTAGTGACTCAATTGTTCAAAAAGGGTGGTGACTTTGAGCTTCCTCTCAGTCAATCGGCAAAAATTTAGTCAAACTTCTGATTTCCAGATAATGAAAAAGAGATGATCAGTCTTATCGTTGATAAGATGGCGGAAATAGATAGAAAGAAGGTGATTCTCTAGGAGATATAATAGATAGTTCTGCAGTAATGATAAGGTTATTAATCGATATGTTGAATGAAATATCTGCATTTCTTGATCGAAAAAATCAAAATATGTTGAAGTGCCATGAAGTGCCCAAAGAAGACAAACCACACACATTGAATAATAGAGTGAGTGCTTTGACTCATTTTCGTTCATCGAGATTAGACATGGACAGTACACTGTTTCATTTTATCTCTTCACTTAATTCATCTTTAAAAATGAAAGTTTATAATACATTGAAAGTGCTTGCTGAATATGGACCTCATTGATAGGCTATCAATAAGTGCAGAAAATGGCTTTTTTAAATTGTTTTTTTAATTTTTTAATGGCTTAACTATTGATTTTTCATTTCAAAACTTGCATGAAGTATTGATTGATGATATTGGTATTAATAAATTGTTAACCATTTCAGCCCAAATGGCTTTCGCTATCGATTGATAAAAGTTTTACTTTTTAACAGATTTTAAGCTAACAGAGGCTATGATAGTGAATTAAAAGTATTCAAATGTTTAACTGTGTTTAAATAAATGACAACTTTTCTGTTTGAATGTTCAGTTGTTATATTGACTAAAGAGAAACAAAAATTGTGTAAATTTAAATTATTTATTAGTTTAAAATTTAGTACAAAGCTTCCCATTATTAGTATTATTAAAAAAAGTTATGAAATATAATATACTAAGTATACTAATATAGTATAAAAAATCAAGATTTAACATCAGTTGTTTTTTCTAAATAAATGATTAAAAAAATTTTGGGACAATGCAAATGCAAATCGATATCAAATGAAAACTAATTTCATTCAACTAATAGAAAAATTGAATCATTGTGAAACTAAGGATAATTAGCGAAAGATAACATATTGAAAGAACCTAAGGTCAAAGAAAAATTACAATAATATGAATAAAATTGATGCAAATTTCCTATGAAATCAGTCAGATTCATATTGATTTAGATTATCTTAAACAGGATTGAGACCAGGCAAAAAGTGTCACAACAAATCAAAGCATTTATCGTATTCTGAACGGCGGAGAAGAGATGAAAAACAATGAGAAATGGTGCTAATTTTCTTTGTATCTTTCAATCAGCAGCAGTATAAACATTCCGAGGAAATAGTTTTTAAAAATATACTTTGTCTACTGATTCAAAACAATCAATATTCTGAGTGATAAAAAATTTATCAATTTTAATTAAGGTTTAATGACATGGATATTATGAAAGATCAAGATAACCCAATAATAATAAATGATGAAGAAATTGAAAAAATTCTAGATGATTTGTTCAAAACTTCATATATTCAATAAAAAATTTACTTTTAAGTTAATTTTTTCCATTTAAAAAAACGCGGGAAAAATGTAATTATATTTAATTGATTCATTATACGAAGACCTTTGGTTAAATACTAAATAATGTAGATTGACTGCTCAATAATCCAACAACTATAAGATCTTATTTTTAAACAATTAACCGTTGCTTATTTTTAAACAATTAACCGTTGCAAGATTTAGATAGTGTTAATGTTGGGTATAATGAGGATGATGATTATTGATGAATTCATTTCTTCTGCAATATCTCTTCAATTTACCCAGCTTTCCAGCTCATGTGTCTTTGGTTTATCCGGCAAATCTATATTCAGTCATGTCAGGTTTGTCTTTTCCTTTCATTGTTCTTTCCATCTTAATATTTTCTGTCTTTCACTGTCACCAATGCTCTGTCTAGACCGTACCAGCTAGGTAACTTCCCTTATTAGTCTAATTGTCCCTATTGCATTTTCAACAATAGGAATTCGTCCAAGAGAAAATTGTAAAGCATCGACTTTTTTCAAATGAACACGACAATTAGTTAACAATAAATGTACCTTTCAAGTCTCCTACATCCATTTTCACTCTTGATCAAACCAAAATAAGATAATAAAGATTGAGCTGATTCATAAAATGACAATTTCTCAATCGATTCCTTGATTAATAAATCCGATTCTTCCAAAAAATTTTCTGCTAAACTAGAAGTCGTTTATTATTTATTCATTAGTTGCATTTATTTTATTAGGTTTTAGCGCCTTTTTTTGTTGAAAATAACAGTGGTAAGTGTTTGTTTTTCCTTCAATTTTTTTCATTAACATCCTTGGTTTTTTTCCTTCACAGGATTAACACGAGCGACAGGATCAACATCATCAACACAAGGATAAACAGCTAAGGTAAGTCTTCTATGTTATTTATTGATTATATTTATCTAATTTTTTTCTTTTCAGGATCAGCACCAACAGCTTACTTCCCCGCTAGTTCAAGTTTCCTGATTGCATTTGCAACAATAGGAATTCGTCCAAGAGAAAATGTAAAGCATCGACTTTTCGCAAATAAGACGACAATTATTTATCAATAAATGGACCTTTAAAGTCTCCTGGATTCATTAACACTCTTGCTCAAATCTAAATAAGATGATAGAGATTGAGCTGAATCATAAGAAGACCCTTTCTCAATCAATTTCTTGATTAATAAATGCGACTCTTTTCAAACATTTCCTGGTAAACTAGAAGTCACCTGATTAAATCCTTAAGTATTAATTTCTCGAAAGAAGAACACATTTGATCAAAAGTAGTTGCACTGAAATTTCTCCTGGTAACTCACCTACTTGCAGTCCTCCTGTTGTCTCTTCGAGAAATGAAATGAATAATTTAATTAGAAAACGGAAACATATAAAAGAGGTGCTCTCTTTCATGCTAGATTAGCGTCTATTTTTACTCAGTTGCCAATCAACATCAACATCAACAACACAATCAAAGTTTTTATTTAGTTTTATTTAGTTTTTTTGTTTAATTGGGGTTTTTAGCCTTTTTTGTTGAAAACAACAAGGGTAAGTGTTTGTTTTTCCTTCAATTTTTTATTATCATCCTTGTTTTTTGTTTCACAGAATCAACAGAATCAACAGGATCAAAAGGACCAAAATGAGTGGTGAGATGGTAATGAATTTACTCCCCACGTATTTCGCGACCAGTGAATTAAGATGCATAGAAAGGATTGAAAGATTAAAATTAACACAAATTGGCTAAGATTATATAATATATAATAAATTTAGAGAAATTAATAATCAAACTACAGAAAACTGATTTTCCATTTTACGAATAAATGCGTTCTATTATGTATAACCAATTTCCCTCGACTATCCAGGTTATAAAATAGTAATGAAGATGAAGCTGGTGATGATGAAAAATAATCTGATGTTATCGAAGATGCTAGCTCTTGGGAAGATGATGTTGACAGGGTGAACAGAATGAGAAGTTGATGCTAAGGAATCTGAATAAGAGAAAGCTTCAGGTGATGAAATTTGGTTTTGGTTTTGGTTCAACTTGACTAGAAGTTGATGATGATGACAAAGAGGACGGGGAGCCAGATTTTGAAATTGATTGACACTTGCCCAAAAAATTATCAAAACTCCTCATGAGGGGAAGGACAACTTGAAGAGGTTTGCAACCGGACTTTTTAAAGAATTTTTCTTTCATTTTGCAAATTTCTGAATTTTTTCATTCAACTTTCGAATACTTCGTAAGTATTTAGGCATGGTGGAAGGTTTTTGGAACAATATAAATCAACAAATACACAGAATGAAATTGAAAGACTACTGATAGATTAATTGACTAAATACCAAAGAATTATCTTATTGAATCATCTTCATTACAATGAAATTAAAGATAAAATCCTCCATAACGTCATTTTCGCAAAGAGTTATATAAAAATTGATTTCATTTTTGAAGACAAGATTAAGCAATTAAGCATTTACCTCCGAATATGACGTGTAAACTTCAACCCATAGACCGCGGCATAATCAAATCTTTTAAATAAAATATAGTGATGAGTTGGTGAACAAGTTGATGATCTACACAAATGAGAATTTCCTCCCAATTTACAAACAAATAGATCTTGTAGATTCTCTGCAATGCACCAGAAAGGATGGTCAAATGTAGAGAGATCGACATTTGAAAACGCCGTCTAAGTGACTTTAGAAAAAGCTTAACCCACATTTTTATGCATCAACTGCGGACTCACAGTACAGCTAATTCTGTCTCTTTATTTTTACAAGGTTTCATGTTCTTCAAAAAAACTGGTAATAAATAATGAGATAGACCGGGAATTTTTGATCAGGACGCAAAAAAGACACAATTTTACATTTAATGACTTTTCTTAAGGCAGATCTATTGAATGGCAACCTACAATCATGATATCAACTAAAGCACATCATTGTTTAAACTTGTTTAATTCTTGTGCAACAGAAAGTTGAATGCTTCAAAGTTTTAACTCAATTGTCACATTGATGCACAAATTGACAAAAATGGACAGAAACGGGTAAAAATTAATTTCCTTCAAGATTAGACTTTGTTAGTTTGTTATGAAATAAAACTGATTCCATTCGGGCGATTTAAAGGTTTCTCCGATCTACAGTTTTCGAGAAAATCGTGTCCAAACTTGAAACTTGGATTGCGCTTTTGTGCGGTTATGGAAGCAGATCTTTTCAACAAACTTATTTTACTGATGAAACTTTTGATAATCAACCAGAAAATGTATTTATTTTTAGAATTAGAACTTTTCTTTTTCTGTACAACAGATTCGTTCGATTTTCAGTTAAACTGATCGCATTCTGCGACAGTAAGAGAGAGACCGTAAAATGATAAAACTAAGCGATTTGTTGGTCATAATTCTATAAAAAACTCGACAAGCATGAGTTAATAGTTAACAGATTTGATACGATTCCATTTGGTGTGTATTGATAGAAGTTCAAATTTATTTAGTTTTGTACAAAATAATACATATGATACGCATAATGGCAAATATCCAACTGCAAGAAACTCAACTGTCACACATCACCAATCAAATGTGAATCAATCTTGACCTCCGAGAAAGCCTTCGTAGTTGTTATTAATGAATGTTAGTCCGCATCTAATTTTCAAGATTTACACAAATATAAATATCCAGAATCGCATTGCGTTGAAAAAGGTTCATTCCATTGAAACGGAATTAGATCAATTGTATCAGATCTCATATTATTCGCATAGTCTTTCCACAGGAATAATAAGCAATTTCAAAATACATGAAATCCTGTAAAATCAAGAAAAACAAAGCATAAAGTAAATAATCTTTTCATTGAAATCCTATTGATTAAGAAAAAATACTTACAATTAAAAAGCAAGCTCCCAATAATACAGCTTTAATTTTAACATCTAGATCCATTGGAAATGAAATGCTGAAATGGTTAATGGTGGGTAATATTTCTTCAGTTAAGGCAGACCTTTGTCTAGTAATGCAACCAATTTCATGTTTACCATCTCTTGTTAACACTTTAAATTTAACATCACGGCAACAAGAAAATAAGTCAAATGGCCCTAAAGAGAAAGTACAGGATGGTCCTTTAATGCGTAAAACTGTTTCACCAGAAGCATCACAAACATTGAATCTAGGTTGCCAAAGACTCCAAGTTTGTTCAATATAACCACAAGCGACACCAGAAGCAGTAACTTGCATACTTTGAAGACAACCAGGGAAACAACAGTGTTTACATGCCAAAGGCCTGTAGCGAAAAATATATAAAATAAAAAGTTCTAATAAGCGGTGTTTTCATCGATCTGTATTATGCTATGAAAATCAACATATATTACCGGTAGAGATTTATAACTTCTCTCTCCTCGTCATCGGTAATTTTCATATTGAATGGTCTCATTGGTCCACAGCAACACCTGGTAAAAAAAGTGGTATCTAATGGGTAAAGTGAGAAAGAAGTACAATTAGTTGAAAGGTTATTTGCGATATCAACATCTTACCTTCAATAGCACTGTATATTTGCCGGCCCATACGGTTTTTAATATGATAATTGTTCCCACTAAAGTCAACTCTCTGTTTAACAAGAATTTTATCAATTTGAATCAAGTTTTCTAATCCTGGTGGACTAAAAGGCACTGGACGACCTGGCTGCCAACCATCTAAAAACCATCATGAAAATTTAAGAGAACAATTAGTTCCATGCAGAGAAGATCAATTAAAATATTCAGGTTATTGAATTTACCAGGATTGGTCAATGGTAGTTTCGCTCCATAATAAAGATCAGGATGAAATGGTTGCACCAAGTGTGTAGCTGGTTGAGGTTGAACCAAACGATTTGCTGGGTTTTCGATTGGAGGATCAACAAGATATCCTGGAGGTTCTTGGATTGAATTTGGAGTCAACATTATTTATTTTAATCACTGAATTAAATTTGATGGAGCTTCTTAACAACAAATATGAGAGGTTAAATTAGCACAGATTAGACATGAACAGTTTATCGTCTGTTTGCTCTTTGTACATTGGGTTGAAATAATGGGACTCATAATAAAAATAATAATGACTTTAGGAAACGATTACTAATACTTCGTGCTAAATAACAAGGAACACAACAAGAGTGAAACAAAATGTTGCTTTCGAACTGAAAGTTCCCGGTGCAAACCACAAGACTGGACTAGATGTTGTTAATTTTTTCAGTTAACCATTAGTAAGGAAAACAGTTACGAGCAATGAGCAAACAGGAAAAAGATCAAATTATCCTTTTGAGTTATAATCAAAGATCATTACATGGCTAAGATCAAAGTACAGTTAAATCTGTCTAGCAAAGACAATTAGTGAGATTTAATTGTTGATTCAAAGATCATTATATGTTTGAGCTTGGAAAAGACGACTCTGGTTCTCATTAGTAAATGAGTATTTCGATGTTGTTTGTACAGCATTAGAAAGAAGATGAAATGAAGTTTTCAATGGCGTTCATCATAGCTCAATACTAGTCTGGATGAGGAAAAGTAAGATGATCTTTGATTATGCAGTAATGATGAAAAGGTTTGATGCCAATATTTCAACCATTCATTACTTGAGAACGGATCAAGTTGAAGGAATGAAAAATATACTATTAGATAGTGGTTAATCAGTTCTCAGCAACAAAACATTAATCATAGTTTTATCATGAGTAACTCTGATCAAAACATAGTGTCTCAGTAATCTTAATAGATTCTGATATTTTGGCAACTACCGTAGAGACAGTATATTTTCAATGTATTTCAGAACTTTTTTTACTAATTACAAAAATCTTATTGTGTAATTCTTACTAGATACCACTTTTTGGAACAATTAGTAAATTATAAACTACTATTAACTACTAATTTTACATTTAATTACTCTTAAGGCAGATCTATTGAACGGCAACCTACAACCATGCTATCAACTAAAGCGCATCATTGTTTAAACTTGTTTGATTCTTGTTCAGCAGAAAGTTGAATGTTGCAAAGTTTTAACGCAATTGTCACATTGATGCACAAATTGACACGAATGGATAGAAACGGGTAAAAATTAATTTCTTTCAAGCTTAGACTCTGTTAGTTGGTAATTAAATAAAACTGATTCCATTCGTGCGATTTAAAGGTTTCTCTGGTCTACAGTTTACGAGAAAATTGTGTCTAAACTTGAAACTTGGATTGCGCTTTTGTGCGGTTATGGAAGCAGATGTTTTCAACAAACTAATTTTACTGATGAAACTTTTGATTATCAACCAGAAAATGTATTTATTTTTAGAATTAGAACTTTTCTTTTTCTGTACAACAGATTCGTTCGAATTTCAGTTAAACCGATCGCATTCTGCGACCGTAAGAGAGAGACCGTAAAATGATAAAACTGTGCGATTTGTTGGTCATAATTTCATAAAAACTCGACAAACATGAGTTAATAGTTAACAGATTTGATACGATTTCATTTGGTGTAAATTGATAGAAGTTTAAACTTATAGTGTTTTGTATAAAATAATACATATGATAAATATAAGGGCAAATATCCAACTGCAGGAAGTTCAACGTTCACACATCACCAATTAAACCTAAATCTTAACTACCGGAAACCTTCTTGGTTGTTGAGTGTTATTCCACATCTAGATTTAAACGTTTACCCAATATAATTATCCAGAATCACATTGCGTTTAAAAAATTTTCATTTCATTGAAACGGGGTTTTATCCAATCCCATTTTATTCGGATCATCTGCCTGCAGCATCACTGTTTAGTTTCAAAATACATGAAATCCTGTAAAATCAAGAAAAACAAAGCAAAATCAGAAAGAAAATAATTGAAATCATTGAAATAATATTGACTGGGAAAAAATACTTACAATTGAAAATCAAGCTTACAATAATAGAGCTTTAATTTTAACATCTAAATCCATTGGAAATGAAATACCAAAATGATCAGCGTCAGTGAATAACTCTCGAGCTAAACCAGACCATCGTTTAGTTATACGACCGACTCGAGTGTCACCATCGAGTGATAATACTTGAGTCACCAGACTCTCAAACAAGGTAGTCACCGAGTTGCCGGAATTCTCAATCCAATTAAATGATGTGGTTGCAGATGAATCTCAACGTTAACATTATAATGCAATTTAGGTAAACATTCCTATTACATTTAATTAATACTGAATCTCACTAGGGCATAGGCACAGATATTACGTCACTTCACTAGTCAAATACAAATCTCAGCAATAGTAGTATCAATAAAGTTGTCCAATTTTCATTTTACCAGGGCCTCCGCGGGTCGCTGTATCGCAGCGAAAACAAAGAAATGTCGGCCATTTCATGCAACGTGACAATCTCCTCCACAAAATGGGCGACCCACCAAAAAACAACCAATTGTGACTTTTCCCTACCTACTGGTAGCGTTGACCAAAACCTGGTTAAAATTAGTTTTTTCTTTCAGTGTTAATGCTGAGAATCATGATGCGGCTGATGATTATTGATGAATTCATTTATTCTGCATCAATCATTTCAATAAAACTCAAAGGAGTTGAATCAAGACTCAGGCTTCGCAGCTCATGTCTATTTGGTTTACCCTGTGAATCTATGTTCAGTCATGTCAGTTTTGTCTTTCCTTTTATCGTCCTTTCCACCTTAATATTTTCTGTCTTTTATTGTCACCAATCCTCTGTCTACACCGTACCAGCTAGATACTTCAGTTGTTAGTTTAAGTGTCCTCATCGCATTTGTAACAATGGGAATTCGCCAAGAGAAAATTGTAAAGCATCGACTTCAGATGAAAACGACGATTCGTTAACAATTAATGGACCTCTCAAGTCTCCAACATCCATTTAAACTTGATCAAACCCAAATAAGATAATTCTGATAATAAGATTTAATCCTGAAAATTTTTGCATTTTATGAATGAAATGAAACAGAAATCCAACCACAACGTGGTATTTTACTTCGCAGCCTTCGAATAATCTGTTATTGAATCCATTCTTTTCGGCCAGCTAACTCCGAAAACAATATATTTTTGTTTGGAATACTCAAAAAATAAATTTTTTAATTGCTAAACAGATGCAAGTAAATATGCAAACGAATAATTATAATATCTAGAGGTATGGCTTCAGCTACATGGCTTTTAAGCTTGTAACGGCTATAACTCAGCCCGAGGCTAAATATTTTGACAGAAAGTTTCGCGTATAATCATCATATTTAAAGGTCAAGATCAGTGCAACTTTTTCCGGAAATTATCATTATTCATATCAGAGTCCAAATGCAATTGAATTATAACTATTATCATACTCGTAAAGTGCTCACGCATCACTACTATCACGTATTAACAACTATTATCAACTATTCCAATATGATGAACGACATTGAAAATTATTATATTTTCTTTCGACACTTTATACGATAGAAAAATTTTCTATAGATAACCTTAATTTAGGCTGGCCTTGTAAACATAATAACTTTTGGGGAATTTCCATAAAAATATTTAGTCCGTAGATAATTGAGACTGAGTAATAGTCGTTTTATAACAGAGAATTAGCTGGATTGTCTAGCTAACGCCAGTCCATTCATTTTCCTTGAAAGAACTCATGAATCCATGGATTATATGACAGTTTTGCGTTTCAAGGAGAATTTCTCCAAAAATTTTTCCTTATAATCGAATCTAAGCCCAGTCGAATTATTTTCATTGGTATACAGTTTCAGCGTCAAGTTCATTTGTTCTGGAGTGTCAGGTTCTGTTGGCACTCGACCCTGCAAACTCAACTCAAATTCATCTAGTTCAGTAAAAGCTCGAGCTGGAGTTAAAATTTTTACAATATGAATTGGATCGGTGATAGGAATTTTTCTACGATATCTTCATTTCAACTGTTTCGTTTGACTTAATAGTGAAACAATAAAATTTGAAATTAAAATTCGAGTTGAATAGAGGAAAATATTATATAACAAAATGACTTACTTGGAGCGTCTCTATGCTGGCTGCAAGTGGACTGGCGCAAAACCAAAATAACGATGAAAGAAAAACTGCATGAATTCAATTTTACCATGTTCAGGATATTGAAATTGAGAAACAACGATTTTCGCCAAGAAATTGATTAAAAATTGAAATACTAGAAGATTGAGCTGATTCATAAAATGACCCTATCTTAATCAATCTCTCCATTAATAAATCAGATTCTTTCAAAACATTGCCTGGTGTACTAGAAGTCAGTTCTCATTTATTCGTTAGTTTTATTTGTTTTTAATAGGTTTTTCCGCCTTTTTTTGTTGAAAACAACAAGGTAAGCGTTTATTTCCTGCAAATTTTTTTATTAACATCCTTGTTTCTTTCAGGGGCAACAGGAGCAACAACTAGCTAAGGTAAGTCTTCTATGTTATTTATTGTGTATATTTATCTATTTTTTTGCATTTGCAGGCTACACTTCAACAGCTCCACGATCATCATCAAAAGTAAGTTTCCCTTTTCATTACTCTTTCTTTTTCTCCACTTTCCCTTTAGCATACAGTTAGCTTGTTCTTACCTTTTCCATGCATTTTCTTGTTCTACTTTTTCTCACCTTCAACTCTTTCCTTACCGCACCTGCACACTCTTTTCCTTACCTCATCTTTCATAAGGTTAAGGTAAGATGATATAAGGTAAAGGTACGTAAAGGTAAGGTTAAGGATAGATAACATTATCTTTCATTACCCTTTTTTAATCTGTGTTAACTTACCTTACCTTTACCTTATCCAATTTTCTCCTTATCATACCCTTTTTTCCTTACCTTACCTTTACGCTCTTTCCTTATCTTAACCTTACCTTATCTTACATAAGGTTAAAGTGAGATAATGTAAGATAAAGGTCAGTAAAGGTAAGTTCAAAGTAAGATAACCTTATCTTTCATCACCATTTCTTCTCTTGATCTTACCTTACCTTACCTATTCCTTTGTTACCCTGTCCCATATCACTTTGCACATAACCATAATTGAATATTAATAAAAAACAGGACAAATCCACTCACCTAGTTTTCCCCAGTTTTCATTTGTTTCGTTTTTTCACATGATTTCATTTTCAGCTAACAAACTTAATGGAAAGAAGTTGATGTTGAATACACTCAGTTTATAGGTAATTCCATTTCTCAAAATCGCTGTCGTTTATTCTTATTTGTAGATGGCAAACAATCAATAAAAGGTTTATTTATTAAAAGTTCAGCTGGCGAAATCTTCCGCGAAATCTTTTTCAAAGTCCTTGATATGGTTTTTGGATATAATCATATCTCATATTTTCGTGCCGTTGTAACAGGTGTTTGAACCAATTTAAAAAAGACAAAGGATGTCAGACAATATGAATTTTATTTACTCTACAATTCCGATTTCGAAAGACCCACCAATCGTAATAACCATGTCATTTGAATAACTGTGATCCTATTAACCAGAACTATGTTCATACAAATCTCAAATAGTGAATTAGGGACTTCGACAGCTAATTCTTTGTGTGGCATACCATGCGAGTCAAGCTAGCGGGCAAGGCCAGAAACAGGGACTTTGAAGGTTGATTTGAATAGAAGAAGCAAACATCTCATTAGAAGGCAGGGTAATCTGGTCTTTCCTTGTATCAGGAACTTACTTTCCTTCTTCTCTTAGTCTTTCTTCTTTAGTCTCTATGATTTCTTCGGTCATAGTTCTTTATCGTTTTTCAGGTGGTTTATTTGGCTTAGTAAGAATCATGAAAAATGGTCGTAATCTTTTCCAGTATCCAGCAACTGAAATTCTCTTCTTTTCAGCCATATCTAAATAATAGTGGTTAAATGTTGTTTATAAGGAAATGGAAAATAGGAAGGAAAGGAAATTGAAACAAAAAACAAAATAAAATTAGAATAGAATACAATAGAATTAGGAAATATATGTAGGTTTGTGTAAAGAATCCCGGAAGCAGATTCTAGGTCACCTTGGTTATTTGTTGAGACACATCAACGTTGGCGAGTGGCAAATTTTTGTTACTTGGACTAATTCGTTTGTCTTGTAAAATGAATGACGCAATTCCTTCTGCCTCATTTGCGGTATTTCAGAAGTAATATGAGAATAGGTGAAATTGAGGAATCATTGTTGAGACCATGAGAGATGAACCAAAGCTCGAACAGGGCATTTTTTAAGATTGTGGTCTGGAGAAAGGAGGATTAACATTCATTTTGGAAGCCACGAATAATACTTGGAAGTTTAAAATGGCTTGATTGCAGCGGTAATATTATCGGAGGTGAAGAAGTTGTTGATCTATTATTTAAAGTATTTGGCGATTCCTCGCAAAACTTTATTGGTCTAACATTAAATCTGAATTATTCCTCTTCAAATCCTGTCTACCAGGATTTCGGGTTTAATTTATCTTAAGTTGGACGGTAGGAAATAGGGGTCTTCTTTACTTCTGGCTAATAGAAGGAAAAGAAGAGAAATTCAGGTAAACAAGGAATACCTATTAATTCTGTCTACCAGAATTAAATAAAAGTGGAAAGTTGAAAGTTGGATGTGGGAGAGGAAAAGATAAATTTTTACCTTTGAATTTCTTTCACCAGGTTATCACTCTTGATTGTTTGGTTTAACTGTGTATAAATATCAATCAAAGAAAAGATGAGTATAATAGCTACAAGAGCTTATTTTTGAACAGTTAACCTTTTCACCGCAATTGATTCAACCATCTTTCTATCCTTTTCTATCTATTGTTGATGGTGTTGATATAGGGAATGTTGATTAATGATAATAACTTCAAGGTTCAATGGATTACATATCGATCCATAACTGGACTTGAACATTGAAACACTCAATGGAATGGTAAATGTTTCTTATTTCACTAATTTTAACAGGCAACTTTAATCAGGCAACTCCAAAAAACAACAATGGCAATAGCTAATGTTAATCTTGTCCTGGGAGTGAAAATAACCTATGGGGAGAAAGTTTGAGACAAATGTTTAATTGCTCGTATCTTTTTCAAAAATCTTCTTAACTTTTCAGTTCAAACGAGTATAGATTCAACAACTCTTGTTCTTTAAATCGATATATAATGACCTACTATACATAGCACCTTTTGCTTCAAATTTCATGTTTTTGGCACCCTTCTGCGGTGATTGAAGTTGAATTTTTAAATTTTTTTCTGATTTGTTAGATTTAATTATTGTCGTCTTAGGCATAATATCATAATTAAAATATAAGATTTTGATAGGTCATAGAGTGTTTTGGAACGTTAGCAAGTTAAAAAAGCTTTAAATGTTATATAGCCTCTGAATAAATGGATCTTGAATTTAATCGATTTTTTCAAATATTTTTTCTTATGAAAAGAGGCAAGAAATCATTCAATTGTCGCAAGAGTTAATGATGAATTAAAATTGATCAGAATGTTCGATGATCTTGAATTTCTCACTGTAGATGAACTGAACTTCCTTTTCAGTCTCCTGAAAGTTTCAGTGCTCCAGCTAATCGGATTAGCAAGAAAAAAGCTTAACACATGATTTGTATATTTGTCTCAAACTTTCTGCCCATAGGATATACAAAACTCCAAACTCAGGTAAGTTAACATTATTTTATTGTATTTAAGCGCAATATTCACATTTCATTTATTTCTACTCCTTTCACTCTCTCTTTCTCTCTCTCTTTATCATCATTTTCATCTTCTTATCTTCTTTGTTTTTCCTTTTTTCTCTTTCTTTTATCACTTCTTGATGTTCCTCTTCAATTTAAACCAAACCCGGAGTCAACTCAAGACTCAGGCTTCTTAGCTCATGGCATTTTCGTTAACCCTGAATATCGCCATTTTCCACCTTTATACACTCAGCGCAACAATTATAAATACACCGGTTTTTTCCAATTATAAAGAGAATGCAATGAGTTGAGATAAATTGGATTAAATCAGAAGATTTGTCTTGAGATAAGAAAAAAGATGATGTGTCAAAATCCATATTTAAATTTTTTAATTAATGCTAAATTGAAAAAAAATAAAAATCTGCGCGTGCATTAATTATAAATACAGATTGAAAAATTGAATTTAATTATGAGTCTGAGCGCCATTTAGTTTGACAACTTCAAAAAGTCGATTGTTCATGCTTCGAACAAGATTTTGCAATAGTTCAGGTTCTAAATTGTACCATGCATTTTCAATTGCATTCCATAATTCATCGACCTTATCATATTGTCTATTCGCTGCATAAACTTTCCTAACCATTGCGGCCCAAAGGTTCTCAATCGGGTTCAAATCAGGGCTACAGGCAGGCCAATCCATTAATTTTACTGAATTGTTAGAAAAAAACTCTTTTGATTGCTTCGAAACGTGAATTCGGGCGTTATCTTGTTGGAAAATCCAGTCATCTCCAGCATTATTTTGAGCATTTGCTAGCAAATTTTCCTTGATTACAGCAATATAATCCTTTGAATTCATCGAAGGAGTAATTTTAACTATTGGTAGCACACCATTAAAACTAAATGCAACCCATACCATTACAGTTCCACCTCCGAAATTCCGTTTTGAAAACACTCTTGTCTGGGTATCGATCCTATGCCAATAACATCTCGATCCATCCGGTCCATCGAGGTTAAATTTCTTTTCATCTGAAAAAATCACATTCAGCCATTCATCAGTCCATGTAATATGCTTTCTGGCGAACTCCATCCGTTTCTCTTTGTGAGAATCCGTTAATTTAGGTTGCGCAACCATTTGACTATATTCAAAGAGATTCGAGTCTCGAATTGCTTTCAAAACGGTATTTTGGCAGACAGGCAGTTGCAAGTCATTCAGAATCTTTCTTGATGATGTTCCAGGTTGATCTGCTAAACGCAAAATTCTTCTTTTATCTCTATCACTAAGAGATTTACGGCGTCCAGATCCAGGAGTTGCACCATAATTTTATCGCAAATTCACGAAATTTTGCACAACGGTATGGCTACAACCGATTTCAGCAGCAATTTTCCTTAAAGATAGTCCTTGAAAATGTAAAGAACTAATTTGGCCCTTTTCATATTCAGTTAACTCGGTTCCTCTAGGCATAATTCACTTTTTTAAGTAAAACTTAGGTTGAATTCAATTAAATAGAAAATAACTCAAAAAATATACAAAATATCGAAAAGAGAAGTTACTATTCGGAAAGAAGACACAAAACTGACCCTGAAAACACTATTTCTGAACTTTTATTCCCTTTATTTTTCCTAATTAGTTAATTCTTTCCATCTGTATTTATAATTTTTGCGCGCTCAGAAATCCATATTTAATCCAATTAAGTTAATTCAATTGATATTGTGAGATTTTTGCACTCAAAACTTAACAATAATCCTTTCTAAGGAAGATTAACTCAATCCAATAAAAAAAACGATACAGTACGATATACGATTACGATATCGATCGAAATAGATTTCAAAAATGAATTGCTATTATTTTGCTAATCTTAATAACTTATTCTGATTAGATTCTGATATTTTGACAATTATCGTAGAGGCGTTATATCCTTGAGATATTATCTTTCCTTTCCTACGTCATTTTTTAGTTGTTTCAGCCAATATATTTTAGCAAATAAGTTGCTCATTTCGTAAAAAAATGATGGCATAATGCTAGATCTTGATTTTTTCATATATTCCAGAACCTTTCTTGCTGATTACAAATATCTTATTAACTTTACTTTATTTCAATATTTGATGAAAATTGAAACCATTTCTGTTTCTCTTTTGTCAATATTACAACTAATTTTGTTTCTTTACTTTTACAAGATTTCATGCTCTTCGAGAAAACTGGTAATAAAGAACGCGATAGACCGGGAATGTTTGATTAGGACGCAAAAAGACACAATTTTTAATATAACACCTCTTTTCTCAAAACAACCTGAAATCATGCTATCATGCTAAAGAGCTGTCGTTAAATTGATGCAAATTGATTTAATTGTGTCTTTTTAGTGACAACCTTAGAGGTTTATAATAGGTGGTCCAATAAGTTCTTATAAAAAGTTAGTTCACATTTTCTCTTATTCAAGTCGCTAGTATAGCAATGA